CCCCAAAACCCCAAAACCCCAAAACCCCAAAACCCCAAATTATAATCGCTCCATTGAAACATAGTTATTCCTCCATGTCAGAGATATCAGATACTCTGATATGTCTCTTTTTAGCAGCTTTTTTCCTGTTCTTGGCATCTCTGAGCTTCTTTATTCCAAATATAGCGCCGATGAATAGAAGGGTTCCTACAAAGTTATAACATGGGAGTTACCAAGGATGAATAGAATGCTTCTGATGTATTTGTGGAAGTAGTTCACTACTTTATGGTGACGTGAGAGGTACTCGAATGTACTACAGTTTAGATTTCTACCACCAGAACCTCCAGTATCGTTTGATGTCTCCTTTTTCTTGATATCCAAAGCTTCCAAGGTTGAGGAACGGACTATAATTTTACTACGAAGTCTTACCTATTCTAAACTCTGCAAGTTCGTATGGCTCGAGTCCGTGAAATCCTCTTGGCTCATGATTGCTTTTACGAAGTTCATCTTCTAGAGAGGCAAGACTGTATCTCTCTTCATCAAGCACCTGCTTGGATTTATCATAGTTGTTCCTGTAAATAGTCTTAGGCTCTGACTTAAGAGTGTCAATGAATTCGTTCTTGAAGAGTCCTTCATTATGATCTTTTGAACCTCTTGTTATAGGGATATGCCCATTATATCTAAATCTTAAGACTATATTTTACCTGTTTCTGAGAACTATGGCTAGCTCATAGTCATTAAATGTCTCGAGTATTTTGTGTCTCATGAGCTTGAGGTCAACGATGTCGATCTAAAAGTTACTGGAACTATTTACATCTCCAAAGGTGTTCGATATTTGGTGTTCGCCATTAAGATTCAAGAAGTCAGCTCCAAGGTTAGAAGAAACAGCTAAGGAATCAAATTTTGTCTTGTATATATTCTTTGTAAAGATTCCATAAGGCTCATTTATCTTTGTGTTAGCTCTAACTTTATGGAACAAGGCTCCATCCACAGACTTTTCAATATAGAATTGGAAGGCTGTAGATGTAATATGCCTATCAACTAGACGATCATTAACACCTTTGTTGTCAGAATTTGCAATATTCCTAAAGATCATGAATGAAACTTCGCTTTTGTCAGAAAAAGTGCATCCTATTGGGTTTGAGTTAGCCCAGCCAAAGAATATATCTGTATTTCCATCAGGACTGTTTTTGTCCATCTCTCTGATAAGACCTCCATGGACGCAAGAGTAGGTATAGTATCCTTCGAGCTCTGCCAGGTTGGTATGAGGAATCTTACTTGACTTATCAAAGATTGGTCTTTCAATAAGCCTCATAGAGTCATCAGCATATGACTTGTACTCGCCACTGGATGATTTAGGGACTTTCTTGAGGCTGAAGGAGACTTCGGCCATCCGTTTAGTTTCAAATTGGATCTCCATGAAGAACTGTTTCCTTAAATTTGGACATCCATCTTGGTTGACAATGTAAGTTTTAAGGAGTCTATCTTCACTAGAATGTCTATAGACCTGGAGTACATCAATCAGCCCTGATATTCTATATCTATACATCTCAGTATTGCTGAAGGGAACTTTAACCTTGGTGTTCCTTGGGTTGAAGATGTAGAGACCAGACCTGGTATTTCTGATCATGTCATGGTATGTTACATCCTCAGAAAAGTATTCAGCAATCCTCCTTGACATGTATTCGAATCTTTCTAAAGCTCCATCAGCACTAAAGTTAAGCTTGATATCTTGGTTGATCATCTGAGGACGGCCTTGGACTTTTTCTGCTTCAACTTTTGTAGCACAGTGGAAGTTCTTGCCAACACAATCATTTGCATCAGAGGTTTGGAAGATATACACCTGCTTGTCACTAAGAGCATGCATTGGAAGTTTGAAGAATATCTTCCTGGTTTTTACCAGATTTGAAGTGGCTGTATTTAACTCATAAATATCAGCATAATAAGACGATGTGATAGGAGTCAAAGTTTCTCTTTCTTGTACGTAGAGAATGTATCTGTCTTCGTTCTCTGGGATTGGCACAGTTATGTTAACAATCTGGATTCTGTAATATCCTGAAGGATTCACTATGGTGTTGTGAGTAATTTTAGGGTTTGTGAGATTTCCAACAATGTTGTTGAGGAAATCGATTGTAGAGCTAGGAATCTTTTTCGCTATAAACTCGTCGATTAAGTTCCTAGCTGAATGTAAATAGTTTAATGCCTCATGAAGGATTCTGTAATAGCTTGGCTCAGTGTGGACAGTGTGAGTCCCTGTAATAGCATCATGATGCATCATTATTCCCCATTTTCTCTCAGCATCGGTGATCTTTTCTTGAACTTTATCCACATTGAAGCTGAATGGGCCTCCAAATCTTATGCTATTGTTCTCATGATGAGTAGCTCTAATAGCTAATAATGTTTTAGTGCTTTGGATATCATTAAAAACATGCCTAATCATTCTCTTCATATGAAGTCTAGTCGAGTAATACCCAGTCCAAAAATCTTCCCAATTTGGAAATCTTTCTTCATATGGTAAAAAGTCTCCTTTAAACACTCCATAGGACAGGTTCATTGAGTGAAGCCCTTCGAAATAGCCTCACATTGTATCATACTTTGCCTTTGTGTTAAATCCATTGTTATCTCCTTTCTATTTAAATAAGAAAATGGAAGTGAAGTATTTACCTTTTCGATAGATTTGATTAACTCATCAAACTTTGAAAATACTCTATCAGCGTTAGTAAACATGAAATCGTCTCCAGCAGTAACCATGGTGTGGAAATCCTTTTCTGTATGATTTGAGATGTTTTGGATCGCTTTTATTGCAGGGCTTATCTCACGATCATACACATAGTCAGACATTCTATATATTAATATTGAGACGAAGAAAAAGTAATTACCTTGTCATTGATTTTCCGAGGAAAAGTCCCTCATTCCAAACGTTCGGTAACTGAAGTCCATAATGCTTCTGCAGAATATGTGTAAATAACACTGTATCATCCTTGTTTTTAGAGACTTGGTGTCCTTGCCAATAGAAATTGAATCCGTCTTCTGATGCCATCTTGTCTTTAAAGTTCTGGGACATCCTGTTTCCAACAAAGCCATCAAACCCTAACTTGTACAACACAGCTACGGTAGCAGCACTGCTTCCGAATGGATCAATCTGCCATCCAATATTAGGACGGACACCGAAGGTATCCTGCAAAAAATCAAGGCCAAGTCTCATCTGGAGCATATTCTCTTTATAAGAAGGGAGGGCTTCATCGCTCATAACCCAGCCTCCACCAATAAACACGAATCTATTCTTCTTGACTAGATTTCTGACTAAATTCTTCATCTCAGGGGTTTGGTCTATCCACCAGCGGTGAAAAAAGGCGATATCAGCCCAATTGAATACCTTATTGGGCTCTCTTTCCAAAAGATTCATAACATTGGTGAGTATATGCTTTGTTGTTTCTTGGTAATATTCTTCAAAACTCTTCAGCCAGCCTGCATCATTATGGGAATGAGGTACTAAATGAACAGTCAGGTTCCGATCATGACAACTTATGCACAGAAAGAGCAAGGTCAATGTGAACAAGAGACTCCACTTTTCCATTTTAAATTTAAAACTATGATTTTTCAATCTTCAGGACTTTAAAAGGGGTTTTGGGGTTTTGGGGTTTTGGGG